GTTATGACTATGACCCGAAAAGCATATAAAGATCTGCCAAGGGCCTGGATCCGTCAGCAAGCTGTGACAAGGTTCTGTCTTGGTTGCCGGGATGCAGAGGCCGGGAGATATGTCCTCCATAAGCACGTTACCACTCTGGCAGAAGCTTTGACCGAGTATGAACAGTACGACAGTCTCCGAGGATTGTATGGTACTAAGAGAGGGAGCAGATCTCGAGATATTGGAAAACCCCTGATCAGGTCTGCTACCCACGTCACTCATCGTTCATCAACACCTCCTGCTTATTCCGAGGAAGAGGATGAGGATGAAGATAGCGACGGTATCGAGACTGCGGAATGTAGACAAGTGGGTAAACGGTACAACCGGGATGGTAAATCAAGCTATCCCCGACAGGCTACCCATGAAAAGCAAACTACTGTTACACCCGCTAGCAAATCGGTCCCTACTAGCCGAAAACCATCTCCATCACAATCAAGTTCTGATAGTAGACTGACCGCCCTCGAAGATCAGATGGTGGCTGTTAACCAGAAGCTTGATGCGGTGTTGGAAATGTTAAAACCACGGGGGGATCGGTGCTATGAATGTCACCAGGTGGGACATTGGCGTAAAGACTGCCCGCAGTTGGGAACTTTATCTAAACAAACCAGGCAGGTTGGCGCTCAGGGTGAGGAACATTTAAACGAGTAGGGGTCGGAAGCCATGGCCAGCTAGCCGACCATCCTCATTGTAGCGGCCAACAAAAACAAGAAGACCATAGAATCAAGAACGACACAGTTTCTTCTGATCCTGGTGGGCCTAGCAACACCGTTAGTCCACAAAATATACATCTCGTTCCAGGTGGGCCTAACAATAAATCTGTTAGTCCACGAAACATGCATCCTGTTCCAGGCGGGCCTAGCAATGCTGTTAGTCCGCAAAAGATACACCAAGAAACTGTAAAAACATCGACCAACTCTGACTCACCTACTGCCTCTCATTCTTCTAAACCGGGAGACAGTAGTGAGTTAGTAGTAACAACAATAACAGCAATGACGACTGTTGAAGAAATAACTATCAGTAGAGTAAGATCTAATAACGCCCTGCATACGACTGCTTTAGTTAATAATATAAAAGTTAATGTAGTTGTAGACACCGCAGCCGATCACACAATCCTCTCTGATAGTGTATATTCTAACCTTAAACCTACCACCTATTGTGGCCAATATATCCTTCACTTTAGCAGAAAGGGAAACATCTATGCCAGGCTATAAGGTGGGACCCGTCAACTTCCGATTGGGTTCCAATGAGTATAACAGATTCTTCTACGTAGCCCCTATAAATGATGAAATGCTCTTGGGTGGGGATTTCCTCCATCCTAATAAAGCAATTATTGATTTCGGGAGGCTACTACTAACCATTGGTGATAACACCATATCGCTTAGGAGCGACTCCAAACCTGCTCTAAGGGTTGCCCGAGTATGTGTAGCTAAACGTAAGGTGATACCTCCCCACTGTGTTACACATGTTAAGTGTCATCTAGTTGATAATGGTTTACCCATGCCTGATTTCGTCATAGAACCAGGAGACATACAAAGGCTAGCGATTCCCGTTACACTGCACCGCTGCATTGATATACCATGCATCTGTGTAATTAATATGTCCACTAATTATGTCACCGTGAAGAAGGGTAGACAAATAGGCAAGGCCGTAGAGTCTGAACATCTAGATGAAATTATTACCGATGGCCCTCTCATTAAACAACGTCATCGGCCCACGCTGTTGCGTTTTGACAGCAAAGAGGAGCAAGAAATTAATAAGATGCTGGAAGACGGAGTTATCCAATTCTGCACTGACCACCATGCATTACACGTCAATGCCATGATGAAATGCAGAAACCTGTGCAAGTGGGTACGCATCGAGCAGCAACAAGGTTTCCTGGGTATGGGAATGTCCTGGGCGTTGCAATGTAGGCCCGATGGGCGTTGCAATGTAGGCACGATGACTTGCAAAACTCCAATATGGAGCATCTTCTCCTGAGCACTGTGCAACTTCCTGTACATGTTCAGAAAGGCCCCTTCATGGACCGGATACTGAACGGTCAAATCCCGTGGGACCCGGGCATTGGGTTAACATCTGGTAGCTTTCCTGGGTGGGGTTTTGGAGAGTATCCACGGTTGGTCATCAAGTCTGATAGCCTTTCTCTCAAGAATAGTGGATGAGAATTATTGGGTAGTCGTCGTATCCCATCAGTTGATTTTTCCACTGATGGCTCTACTGAAACTTAACTGTATAACTCTTTGCCGACTAAAGTTGAGGGACTACTAGTTCTTCTTGTCTTCCCATAAAGAAACCTATGGAAGCTACAGTATAGCATTCGATCAGCCAATACCTCCTGGTGGGCTATTTATTACCCACGGGGTAGCGTCTCCTTTTTCAAACGAAGGAGGAGTGTAGTGACGACCCCCGTACGTACGTTCGTATCCCCGATCTACGCAGGAGGACATGACCTCAAGGTCAGCTCATCTGCATAACCCACAGCCGGGTGTGCTGCACAGCCGACCAGGGGTACCTGGTGAGATTAGTCACTACTCCCTTGTTTTTCAAAAATTCTCGAAAAATTAATTTATAATAGATTATTAGCATTTTTTTCTAAGTATCAAATTTTACACACAAATCAATACGGATTCAGAAAAGCACATGGTACAGATCTTGCAGTGCTCCACATGTACGAAAAATTAACCTCTTTACTTGCAAAAAAACATCACACAATCGGTATTTTCTTGGATTTATCTAAGGCCTTTGACACCATAGATCATGATATTTTACTCTCAAAATTATTTAATTATGGTGTCAGAGGCCTTCCATTACAATTAATAAAAGATTATCTTACAGACAGACAACAATTTACCTCTATTAATTCATTTGATTCTAACTTATTACCTATAACCTGTGGAGTACCACAGGGTTCTAT